TCCTCTCTGCGGTCAGACTTGCTTCAAACGCAAGCGGGGAGAAATGGGAGACCCTCCGCGGATGTGTCACTCGTTCTTGCCAGTATTTTCGGTTCATCTCTGTCTCGTGGTTCACGTAAGCCACTATGGACTACCCTTTGACCCATGGAAGGCGAGGCTCACTTGGCGAAAAATACTGACCCCCTTTTTTGACAGAAAGTTCTTCTAACTTTCTTTTCTTTTAGTAGAAAGTTCTTCCAACTTTCTTTTCTTCCCCTTGCTTTTTTTACGTCGTCATAGATCATTTGAGTGCAATCTTAGAATGAGAGGTACGCGTGCGTTTAGTATGAGTGTGAGTGGGAGCTCCCATGAGTGTATTAAATTTTAAGATGTAAAGCGTGTGTGCGTGCGATGCAAGTTCTTTGCTATACTTAGGTAAAGAACTTGTATATTCTATACTATAGTAAAGAACTTGTATATTTTTGCGAGCCAGCGAGCTAAGTAGAGTCAAAACTCATTTATCCTTCTGATAAATGAGGTTGCAATTGGAGGGTGGTTGGGATTTGGAGTTAGGGTGGGTCACTATCGTAGCAACCTCCACGTGGTGTGACCTGGTAATCGATATCGTTTTCTAAACATTTTTATAAAAATGAACTTTAGAAAACGATATCGAGCTAATAGCTACGAATTATCGAGCTAATAGCTACGAATTATTTAGAAAACGATATCGAGCTAATAGCTACGAATTAAATTATAATTTTGTTCCACATTTTCTTTTACGAGAATGTAAGAAATATTACAAGTTCCACACTTATATAAATCTAGATTTACAAGCCTTATAATAAAATGCAAAACTTTTGAAAACTAGATGACAGCAGATTAGACGGAAACCGCAGAGTAAACCGGAGGCGGCATCTTTGATCTCTCGAAGACGCTGTCCCTTTAAATTGATTGTGCGAAGGAGCGGGAAATTTAAATTGAGCAACAGTACTTTAATGTGAGTCTAATAATTTGTAATAATTTTTCTGTGCATTATTAATATTGTCTTTTCAGGTATTTTTATTAATTTTACGGCGTGGAAAAGTTGGAAAAAAAGTATATACTTGTCCAGTGCCGCCTCTTGTTATATCTACTCTTTGTCATAGTCATTTTACGCAATGCGACTAACTTCAGTAAACTCCCTACCACTTAGTGCAGCCCTAATGCCGTAAGATTTCTCTCCATCGATCATATACATAGTGAGCAAAAGTGTATGAATAAAAAAAAGAGGTAATGTAGAGAGTATAGTAACGAGTCAAATTCAGAGACCATCAAACTCACAAATTTTTCAATCTCGAAATTTCTGAATTACAGATCTGCACAACAATTATTCATCACGTCCAATATAAGAAATATAAAACATAAATGGTCACCATATATATAATTCAGCATCATGAAAGTCCCCAATGAGAGCAGACATGCGCAGAATTTCATCGGATGATAAGTATGATCTCTCATTGAACCAGTAATAAACTTGTATAGATCATGATCTCATTGACATAGAATGAAAATAATCCACAGCTTCAATGATTGTTAACATAGGAATCTGTGTTAATTTCCTTCGCTTTTTACACAGATGGAAGCAAATGCTAAGTTGTGATGAAAGGAATCACACTTACCAACAGTTTATCGACCGACTCGACTGCATTAAAGAGCGCACCCTGCAGGCCGGTGCAAGTTTTGGACCGCACCGAATTCTGACCCACGCTGTAAGCTGAGAATGGTGTGTCAAGTTGCTGGATCGAGTCTTGTTTTAAAGATTTTATATCATACTTTTTTCTATATAACAGAATACTGTTTTTCATATAGAAAATATCTGTAATATAAATTGGTATGTATGTTACGTAAATGTCATAGAATTATTGAATGTTAAATTCACGTGAATGCATTTCTTCACATGTACGTAATATATCCTAACCTTGTTTTCTGTTAAAAAAGTATGCGGTTAAGATTAATCTTCTATGAATTTAGTAAATGTATATAATAGTCTGAAAAATATATTATAACTTATCGATACTAACTTTTAGCCTGTTTATTCGTGTTTAAGAAATGTGATAGTTTATGCGATTTTGGAGGAGATCGTAGAAGGAGGAGTACGCTGATGCATGTTATACGCGTTCAAAGCCTGCAAAAATCATTTTTTTTTATAACTTGAATACATTTTTTTTTACATTGTAAAATGTTTTGTTAAAAAAATGGAACATGTATGTGAATTTAAATTAGATAGGTATTCTAGAACCATACAATTATTAAATATCCTCCTTAATTACTACATGTAATAATAATTTATTTAAATTTTAATTTACAGTTCTGATATCCATTTGAATTGTATTAATAATGAATAATAAGACTGTGGAGTTTGATATTTCATCTGATAGTAAAAATCTATCTAATAAACCCAATTGTTCATCAAGCAATAATACAAAAATGTTTATTCTTCCTCCAGATGTATTGCAAAATATTTGTATGAATGACTCAAAAGGTAAGTTGCAAAACTAAGTAATGAAAATTAATGCATAATTAATTTTGTTTGAATTTTTCATGTTTTATGCAGCTGAAAGTATAGTATCTGCTAGAGAAGCTGCGATAAAAGATAATAATATAAATAATGTTAGAACACAAGAATGCAATGGTGATCAGATTCCTACATCCACTAAAAATTCTACAAATTTAAATATTGTGATACAGCCAACTACGGTTATAAAACTAAATAAAAATAATACAATGAATGATACAGACAATGAAAGCTTAAAAAATACAATAAAAGTGCCTAAATGTAAGAAAAACGATGAAAAAGTAATATCTAAAGTAAATCACATAAAACAAGTAAAACATAACTCTCATACAGAAAAACCAAAAGGTAACATAACGGTAGATAGTTCAGTAATTAATTCAAGAAATGAAAAAAATTTACAAGAAATAAAATGTGTTAGTAATAATGTAAAAAATAATCAAACTACCTCAAATAATATACCAAAGGCTCAAAGAACAAATTCAGTGTCTGAACAAAGTAGTAGTGAAAATGTGCATGGAAGATCTAAACGTGTTCGTAAACAAACTAAATTTGATGATTATATTGTATCATATGCAAGAGCTTCAGTAAAAAAAGAAATTAGGAATTTGGATCAGAAGAAGAAGGGTATCTTTAACAAAGAACCAAAACAAGAATCTGTTTCTAATAGTCCTTTATTAGATGTAACTGAGGTAAATGATCCAAACCTTACAAAATGTACAAAAGGAGAGCTTCAAAATACGCAAAATAAAAAAAATACAAGTACTGCTATTCCTTCTATCACACCAGTTGTAACAAAAAAATCACTGCCTTTCAAGTCCAGTAATAATTCTGGAGACTATACTAATGTTATGAAAAATGAAAATAATTTCGATGTAAAACGTTTGCAAAATTCAGAAGATATAGGAAATAAGATAAAATTAGAAGAGTTAAAAAGTACAATGGAATCAAACAATATGAATGATAATGAAGTTCATATGGGAGCAATCAATACCTCTGTAGAGCATAGTATTTCAGAAGAGATTGATACTTTAGATAGGACAAAAGAAGATAGAATGTCTATGAAAATTTCTAATGCATTAAATCAAGGAAATGAAAACACAGATGCATTAAATCAAGGTAGTCCAGATCCAATTTTAGTGACTAAACCATTAGTAAGGAAAAGAGGAAGACCAAAAAAAGTTATGCCTATATTACAACAGACCCCAAACACTTCAGATGTGTCAGCAGACAATTCAGAAGTTTCAGATAACGTAAATAATGTTTCCATTGCAGAGGCAGTTGTTCATAGTAAGAGACATAATAGATCATATAATATTTGCACTAATGACGGTTTAAGTGATGACAGCAGTATTGAAGATAACATTCCAAATTCAATTGTTGATAGAAAAGGAAGTAGTCCAGCAAGTACATCTGTAAGCAGAGGTAGAGGTAGTAGTAGAAGTAGAGGTAGAGGTCGTGGTAAAGGTAGAAGCAGGGGAAAAGGCAAAGAATTGTCATATTCTTCATTAGATACTGAATATGTACCGAAATTGAAGGGACCAGTAACTACAGATAAAGTAAAACAAGAAAATTCAGATGCAGATACTATTTCTGATACACCAAAAGTAAGCTTTATAAAAAGTTAATTATAGCTTAGTTTTTAAAACAGATATTTTCATAAGTGGTTACACATTTTTTTTAATTTTGTAATTTTAGGTAGAATTAATAACTTGTGCCAAATGTGAAGTAGAGTTATTGAAAAAGCAGTGGAATTCACATAACTTGTTTAAACATAATAATACGAGCTGGATAAAGGGCGATGAACCGCTGGTAAATATACTACATTAATATTAGTTAATGGCAATCATTTTTATTAACTTTTAGTTCTATTTATGACAAAATATTATATTTTAGGATTTTGAAAATGACATTAAATTATGGAGACGAGTCTTAACAGGTGCTCTTCATAAGAGAAGGGGACAACTGATTTGTGACAAATGTGGAACTGTAAAACGTAGTGTAAATGGTTTCATATCTCATACACAGTTTTGTGGAAAATCTGATGAAGTATACTATTTTTCTATTGAAGTCTAAAATACTTTACTTAATGAAACTAAAATGTTTATATGTTATATATTAGGAAAAAAAAGCATTAATGGTAAGTTGTCCGACTTGTGGAGCTGTCATGATGCCATCTTCTATGGAAATACATGAAAGAACTCATAGACAAATAGAACAAAACAAGATGAAAGAATTACAGATTGTTAGAAATGAAAATGAGAGAGTGAAACGTAAAGCTGCTGAAAAGTAAGAGTTAATTTTTAAACATATCATACTTTAAAGATGTACAAAATAAAGTGATAATATAATATTCCCATTTCAGAGCAGTATCAAAGATTTTAGAATTTACTGAACTTGTGAAGGATAACAGTGTACCACCTGGGAAAAAAATAAAACTTGAAACTTCTTTACTGGTGTGTTACGTGTTTACAATATTTTCATTTAATTAAATTATTAAAAATATATTTACTATTAAATTAAATTTGTAGAAAAATGTAGTTAAAACACCTAACCAAAGTAAAAATATACCAACAGTATGGAAGGGTATTTGGAAAAAAGAATTAACGTCACAGGGGACAGCTGCTTGTCGTCAAATGAATTGCACTTATAAATCTACTTCTTTTGAAGATATATGTAAACATTCTACCGAATGTAGTTTTATGCCCAAAGAGGTACAATTTGCATATATAATTTAATCAAAAATTTGTACGAAATTCATTCCTTATATTTTATTACAGTCTTATGTATGTAAAATATGCAAATTTTCATCTACTTCCAATGAAAATATGGTAAAACATGTAACTACAGCACATTCAATGGTAGATGAGACCGAACACGGTTCGGATTACGAAGAAGAACATTGCAGTTCAGATGATACAGGTAAATCTTATGACGAAAATAAACTTTTAATTGTTAAATTACATTAATAATTCTTATTTTTAGATACATCCAATAAAATTAATTTTTACAATATGGAACAGAATAGAATTCACTGGAGAGAACCGTATCATCCTGCTTTACGATGGACCATAGAATTGTACGTATTAACACTTCATATGAAATATATTTGTTCATATTGTTTTACAATAAATTTTACGTAAACATAATGTAAGATATATGTTTATAGTGAACAAAAAAATTATGAATATGATTTGTTTACTGATTATACTCCAAATCATTTTATATTATTAAATAATACTGATGCTGCTAAGTACTTGCCAGAATTAGAAATTTCTATACGAATGAAAACAGAAAGGGTAGGTGATAAGGTATGTGACACCGAAATTCCTTGGAAACAATGGAAAAAGTTTGAGGGTGGTTTCGATAAAGGTAATAATTTTTTAATAATTCTATCATGATTGTATGATTGTCGGTATATGTATAATAATTTTACAGGTGTAGCAACTTTTTTTGTTGGGGGTCCAGTATGGGCATTAGCTTGGTTACCCATTCCAGTGTCAATGTTCTCAAAAAATCCCTCGCAATATATTGCAATCAGTACTCATCCAACTATGGAAAGTGAATACACAGTAGGGAAGTCATACCTCGGGCATAATATGATACAAATTTGGAATGTAGGACCACTACATTATGAGTCAGTAATAAAAATGAATAAATAGACATATACATATAACTATACTAAGTTGGTTCAAGTATAATTTTTTTTTAATTTAGATCAGAGGATAAAAAGAAATCTCCTACTTTATCATATGCGATTACGCATAACAGTGGTACTGTATGGTGCTTAGAATGGTGCCCATCTGGCTGTTACCAAGATGAAAGTCTTAACAATTATAAGAAAGAAAATGAAGTGCAATCTAGTCTGAAGCGAATTGGTATGCTTGCAGCTGCTTGTTCAGATGGCAATGTGTACATTTATTCGCTACCATTTCCAGAGGAGCTTGATTTCAAAACAACTGCAGAAAACGAGTAAATAGTAAATACTTGAAAATTATTTAGTATTTGGTTAGCCGGTACTAATATTTTTTACTATTATAGGTTGCCTATATATTACACTGATCCAATAATGACGCTAGTTGTAAATATCTCGATATATGACAGCAATGATCAAAATTGGCAATGTACTAAGTTATCATGGATAAAAGAACACGGGCATAAGTAAGCTCCACGCATTGTATCTTCACTTTTTCCTCTCTATTTTACTATAACGAAATTATATCATTTTTCTTAGCACAATTGCTGCAGGATTTTCAAATGGCTATATTGCGGTATGGGATCTCACGTACAAATCTCCATTATCAATGCAAAAAAGACAAAATACGTGGTTTATAAATGCATTTCAATATTTTTATGCACATGGTAATGCTGTGAGTAGTAAGTACATTTATTTTCCTTTTAGAAATTCTAAAAATACAATGATAATTAAATAAACGTTTAACCATGATATTATTATTACAGTGGTAGCTTTAGTTCCATATAATGGAGAGAGATTTCTAGCTTCGGGTAGTATAGATAAATCTTACAAATTTTGGGATTTAGAAGATACAACTGCACCTCAATATTCCCTACAGAAAGGTATTATATTGAATGGTGCATGGATGACGCATTGGCCATGTGCTATTGTTACTTTTGACGATGCCTTAGGGTAAGAAATACTATTTAAAAAGTATTCTTATTATACAATAAAATATATTTAATATTATTAAATTTGTTATTACAGATATAAACATACGAATACATATATATTTCCATTACGAGAACACGAATACAAACTTTACCCTATTTTAGCAACAAATTCTCCTACATATGTAAGTAATTTTACGGAATTATATAAATATTCCGTACATATATAATTGTTCATGTTTAAAAATATTGTAGGCTCTAGCAGTTTCTGACTATGCAAATAGTATCGCACATGGTACATTAGCAGGAGAAATATTAACGGTGTTTCCTCATGAAATTCTGCAGGCTAAAGAACTTGATAAAGCCATACAGAAGAGAAGAAAGGTATTTTTTCATATGTTTTATGCTTTTAGTCAACATAGTCAAAAATGAAAATTCCCAAAATTCAATAATTAATTATGTTTTAGCTAAGTTCATTCGTCAGAATAGTGGACTTCTCAAAAGCGGAAAGTGGTAATAATAATGATAAACAAGACAGTAAAAATTCGACGGATTATTACTACTTGCCAGAAAGTTACAGCGAATGCAAAGATCGTTTTGGTATTATTTTTTGTGATGATTTGAAAGTAAGTAGTTTTTAATATTTATCATATTTTATTTGATTCATTTGATTCTCATTTAATTATGATTACATGATATTTAAAGAATGATGAAAACTGCACGCAAAGAGCGCGTCAAGAAAAGTTAATAGCAGTTCCAGTTGAAGAATATCCATTTATGTCTGTAAATAGGGTAAGTATATTATTACTGCTTCTGTTTTAGTATAGCCACTTCAGATGAAATTACAATAAATAATATATTTTAGATGTCTTGGAATCCAAATACGTGGAGCTACTTGTGGTTAGCAATTGGTTATCAGAATGGTTTGGTAAGATTGTTAAGTTTTAAATATATGCCTGTGTCACGTGAATTAAAAACATTATTACCGCAACACATTAAATTCATGCTTAATAAATCACAAAAACCCGTACAAAAATGTTATAAGAAAGAAGAATCGTAGCTTGCGCGTGTCATTATAAAACTTAGCACGATGAATTTATTACAATTGCTTGTTAATATGTGATAAATTATTTTTTATAATTTTGTATATATTAGGCTGAAATTTTATAACTATTGAATGCCAATGATTGTTATGTATATATTGAAAAGTATTTAACTATTAATTGCATATTATATTTAAAACTCCTAGACTACCCAAGAAAGTAATACATTTTGTACATGTATACATTTTGTAATTTCGAATATTTATAAAAAACGTACAGTTATTAAATTATATCTGCAACTTAAAATAATTGTTAATATGAGTTTCCAGAATTTATTTTTGTATTAAAAGAAAAATGTTTATATTAAATGCGACATTAATTACTTTTGTTAACAAATGTTTTTTCGTGGTAAAAGTTAAATAAAAGTTTTGAGATATTTTTTAATTTTGAAGTACTTCAATTTATCTGTATTTAATTATTTTATACATTACGATAATTTGGTCCATGGATGAAGGATATTGACCACAGGTAATATAAAATTCAAATCTAAAACCTGAACGCTATGTCGTGCGCAGCGTCCATCAGGAAGCGAATGCGCATGCGCCATTGAAAGAGCACAGGCACGTTTATGCAGCGTACTCTTTTTCTTCGACATCATATACATTTAACATGTATGATGGTTCACACACTCATACGTATCTCTCTATCTGTATTTGAGATGAGGTGGTATCAAACATCATGTAGGATGTAGTGGGGATCATGTATATACAATCAAATGACGAAAAACGTGGTCCAGCAGACGTGGAGGGAAATAGACTTACTTAGTAACGTATCGCGAAGCGGCAAATACTTTTACTTCACGGCCCTTGTTCTGATATTTAAAACTGAAACAGTATTCCTATCATAGCTTATCTTGCTAGCGGAAATTCAGAGTATCAAATTTAGATTGTATAAGCAAAAATATTTATGGAATATATTGTTAAAATTTATAAAATAAACAAAAGTAATCATAACAAATCTACTTTTCTTTTAAGTATCAACTGCAAGTAAGTAAATATTTTTTCTTTAAAAAATTCAAAAAAAAATAATGCGGAGTATTTAATTTTAAGTTGATGTAAATGATCCACATATTTTTATTTCTGTTTGCAAAGAAAAATTCAAACTAAATAATTTATGGAGATACACTTTTTTTTTAGAGATGGGTATTAATCCAATGAAATGGAAAACCAGAAACGTGTTGTATACCAGCCTAGCACTTTTTATTTTTTACATAGTTTTTGTGTATAAAAAGAAACACCAAGTAATGTTCGAAGCTACAATTCGCGACTCAAACCCTATTCACGTATGGGAATTTGTTGCAGACTTTAGTAACATGAAAAAATTAAATCCGACAATGTATGTAACTTATTTTTACAACACGTTTTTTGATAGGTAACATATATTTAATTTATAATTTTAGAGAAGATTTTAACGTTATTGCGGAAAGTGGCAATTATGATCATTGGAAATATTCGGTTGAATATACAGAACATTTGAGTCACATACCAATTATTCGAAATGTAGCGCAGGGACATTACGCTATACGTCAGGATAATAACGGTTATTTGATCACGTCAAAACATCACACATGTTTCTTTCCCAAATTCGGATGCTGTAAGTAAATTTTTTATCGCAAACAAAATTTCTTACCAGATACAAATCTGGTTTCGAATACTAATGGAATCAGGGCTGACGCGAGAAGAAGGGGGTCCAGTAGGTATCGTGCTGTGGGTACAGTAGGTTCGCGTTATATTGTTACCTTTAGATGGATCTTCACGTACACTAGTGATACTCTTCTACTATCATAGAACACGATGATCTATCATGATATCAATAAGCGATTTATTGTACTTACAAAATTTATTAACATGTTTTATTTAATTCAGTATAATTTTACTATCAAATCTAGTAAATATTTGCATCGATCTTAGATGAATCTTCTAAACGATCGTAATTCACATTTTAGTGGAATCGATCTCACAATTCAGATTTGACCGAGACGGATCGAATGATACAAAATGCATGGAAACTGTACAATACGAATGTCCAATCGCATTTTCACAGCTGTGTTACAAAGAAGTTATGTATCAACGAGAGGAAATTATGAAAAGATTGGAATTAGAATTTTCTAAGAATAAAGTTAAAAATAATTGATGACATATAATAATTGTAACATATAACTTTGTTATTTTTATAAATTGTACTCTAACTCATATTGTTAATCTTGATACAATTGTTGTAATAAAATTTATAATTATTATAAACAATTAATTTATAAGGTTTTATTTCCCGCCTTGTGATTATTAGCATGGCCAACATTTGAATATAAAATCTGTGATGACAAAGTGATAAAAACGTGTGTAGAGGGGGAAATCAACAATTTATCAAAACATATGTATGAAAGAACGTGTGAAAAGGAAACATAAAACGAGAGCTCTATATTTTTATTTATGTGTTGAAATATATTATTTGTAATATTTAATCGATATTGTATATATATTTATAACACAGCCAGAACCATGTCCAATAAATTCGAAATGTAAGTGAATCTGGCGTTTATAATTCATCCTGCCTTTTTTAATAAACACGGTAGAGGTTAGATTTGTTTTGATTAGAATATAAAATACATCCATATACCATTTTATGTAACAGTTTAATTGTGACTCTTTAAATAATTTAACATATTAATTAATTGCTTCTGCTAAGTATTGTTTCCAAAAAGTCCAAGTGATAGAAAATGTAAGACTATATTAACAGTAAATGTTGTAAGTTTTGTTTAAATATTGTATTATATTTAATATGATTTTAAATTAAATTTGCAAAGCAATATGGTGTTAACTCATTTTGTTTTAAAAAACTTGTTTTTTAAACTGTAGTAGTATTTCCAGGTTGTTAAAAACTAATGAAGAAAGTGGGGATGATGAAGTACAATCAAAAGATAATCAAAAAGTTGAAAAAGATCCACTAGTAAGTAAAAATTTCTGTATCCTTTCCGTTTCATATCATATTTCTCTTGAATAATATATACTTATTATAGCCTCCTATAGAAATTAGTCCAAATGAGCACAAATTACAGTACGCATATGCATTATGGTATAGTCGACGTACTCCTGGTATCCAACCAAGTATACAAAGTTATGACCAAAATTTGAAATTGGTCGGTAGGTTTGCAAGTGTAGAACAGTTTTGGAGTCTTTATAGTCATTTAGTTCGGCCATCAGAATTAACAACACATACAGATTTTCATCTTTTCAAAGTTGGCATAAAACCAATGTGGGAAGTATGTATATTTTAATGTGTCTTTTAAAGTTGAAAATAACTACCTTGTTTTTAGTAGTAACATGGTTTTCATTTTAGGATGAAGCGAATCAGAAAGGTGGTAAATGGATAGTGAGATTACGAAAAGGTTTAGTATCTAGATGTTGGGAGAATCTTATATTAGCTATGTTAGGTGAACAATTTATGGTCGGAGAAGAAATATGTGGAGCTGTTGTATCTATAAGGTTTCAGGTAAAATAATTTTTACAGGTTTAAAATAATAATTATTGGCGTTGTTAAATAATATAATTAATGTTAATAGGAAGATATAATATGTGTATGGAATAAGACTGCATCTGATTATGCAACAACAGTACGTATTAGGGATACATTAAGGAGAGTACTGCATCTTCCACCAAGTGCCTCAATGGAATACAAAACTCATAATGAAAGTTTAAAGAACGTTCATCGGCTCTAATTTGACATGACACTAACTCGAAAATTTGAGTTTTTCATGGATAAATTTTTAGGTAAATTTTTTTCATTATTTTGCAAAAACTCCTTTATAGATGATAATCTCTATACTCGTATATTTTCATATCTAGCCAATTGATACTTATGAAAAGATGATACTTATTAGGAGAAAAATATTTTACAACTAAAGAATTTGAATGGACATCATATTCGGTAAAAGCATTTTATTCACCAATGTCTCATTGTAACTTATGTAAATAATAAATTCATGTTAATAATAAAAAGAACTCTTGTTTTCAAAATATGTTTCATTTTTATAATAATTGTTTTAATAAAATAATGAAACCTAATTATCTCAAAGTTTTATACATACCGTCGTATTTATGTATCTAGAAAGCATTGATTTATAAAAATAAAAAATCGTTTTATACTTTAAGTATTTTTATTCAAAGGTATTTAAAACTCGAAGCCCATTTTACATAAAGACATTTATACATTTGTACACGAGATCATGTTTCTTTAGAATGTGTACACAATTATAATTTTGTACATAACACTTTCAAACATTTTAAACAAAATAAAATTTTTATTTGGATATAAACAGTTTCGCATCTTCATATCTTTAACTAAAAACATGTAAAAAAAAAAGTGGCTTCCCTTCAATTTGAGTGAACGTACAAATTTATTCGACGCGCACACGAGGCTATAGAGCATGAATTTGAAGAAGAATGTATAATTCGATATATATTAAAGGAATAAAAGATTTTATATCTGTCAATAAATATTAGCATTATCCATAATATAACGAGACAGCTTACTTTTTATAGACTAGAGTCAGGTATATTTAGTAACAAAAAATACGGTTTCGTACCGAAGAAACCTACCATGAATTGTGCTTTTATCCCATGATCGTATGATCTTTTTTCTCGTAAAGGAAGCTAATAACTTTACAGCCTTAAAATAATAATCGTGACCATACCTGGAATACAAGGAAATAATTGTATTCTTATGTTTACCCAATAATAAAAAAGCATGCTTACCTAATACAAATGAGAATATTAATTTAAAATTTATAGAGAGATGGAGATAGTCAGGCACTCGATTATTCTGTTCTCCCTCTGTAGGTAAAAGTAATCCAACTATACAAATGATTCCAGCAATCAATGCTACATAATTTGTTCCTCCTAAAAATGTTTCTTTTATTTAATTCCTGTTTTTTAAACTGCATAATATATTTCAAATTTTATTCTTTTTATTCAAGATAAAAATTGATCCAATTAAAAATAGAATATGCAAAACTATTTTATCTTGAGCATGTTAATTAAATCTTTACATATATAAATCAAAATTGAATTGCATTAGAGGTATGTTTGAATGTAAAGACTAATTTCAAATACTAACTTATTAACCTTTATCCATAACAACATAATTGGCACTTTTTATATTTGTGGATAGACTGGGGTGTGTACTTTTATCTTGAATACTTCTATGAAACAAATAAGACTGTAATGACTTTTTGTGTGTCTTGAATGCAGATTCTGTAATTTTAAATGATTGTGCATTTCAAATAAATCTAAGCTTATTGATATATAACTATAATTTCAATCATAATATGACACATTTTATCAATGAAATATCTTTCAAATAAAACTTTCTTAACTTACTATCAATTGCTTTATTTTGAGCTATAAGTGCATAAGATTGTTGTTGTCTATTTTCATTTATAGGAAGTTGTTGAAACATTTCTGGATCTGGGGTGGACCTCCCAGCAGACTCTGTTGTCCCAGGAAGCAGTTTAGCTTCAACATCTCTTTTTCCTATGGCCTGTCAATGTTTAAGAATTTTACTTATTTACTACTCTGTTTCAGATATAATTAGGAACATGTTTAATTACCTGTTTAGTTGGATGTTCTTGCATTTGTATTCTAAATTTATCAACAACATTGCAATTACTTAATACAAGTGATGTGTGTCTCACAACAATATCGACACAACATCTTGCCTTTATAGTTCCTTCTGGATCAACAACTTTATATTTATTTGGTGCAGTACATAATACTATAACAATTATAAATTATGTTAAAATGTTTTTACTTATTAAGTGCTATATATTAATAAATTACATACCTTTAAATTTTATTGGAAAATCATATGGGTTATACAAAGTTAAAACTTGTTTGTGAGTAGATTGATCGTCTAAAAAGAAAGTGATACTTTGAGGAAATACAAATACTGGTAATTTCCGGGGAGTTGCTGGTAGCTGTGGTTGCATTGTATTCATTTAATTTTTTGTGGTCCATGCACCTATAAATTGATAATATTTAAATCTTTAATTATGTATATATATATGTGTATGCATACATACATATATCTGATTAAGTCTTTTAAAATGATTTGACTAGCTTTGTCTTAATAAATTAAAATAACAGAAATTTTGTCAATGTATGATTATTCTAAACTGTGACATCTGTTGTTTATAAATACTGAGTCATGATTGTATATTTAATGAGATAACTTACCTACAAAATTATGTACTTTGCAAATTACAGAAAATGGAACAAAAATATGTGTCATCAAATTTTAGACGTTGAAATGATTATTTAGAACATTTATAAGGCATACAAATAAATGCTATTGTTCCTTTAAATAAAATTGTAGAAACTGATAATTGTTTTAGTATTTTCGTTTATAAAAACGACAAATCACTCATAATTTTCTTATCTCAGTCAATTATAATGAAAATTTATTCAATTATGTAGCAATTCTTGAAAACTTTAATATGTATAATCTTGTTAGCGTCATATGTGGAACTGTTTCATTGAATACTGCACTGTTGATCTTCCTAGTGAGACAGTTGTTCGTAGTATTCGTCATACATCGCTTCACATTTACCAACGTTTGCTATTGTGCTTGTGAACAAGTTGTATATATACAGATTGTCCGTCTTTCCCTAGCTTATCACGAATCAGCTGTTCATTTTGTCGCACGAACGATTTTTAAATCATATTACTAGTCATCTTAAAATTTGTATAATAACGTTTATTCGTTGTAAAACCGTTTATGTACATTTGATTTAATAACGCAAATATTATTTAAAACGTAAAATGTCAATGTAAAAAATACGAAAAAACATATTCAGCACGTACTTTTCTTTTTAACAACAAATTTAATTTGCATATCTAAGTAATATACTTCAATTAATTACAATTTATGTAAAACAATTATATTGTTCATTTGATCGTATTTATTTTGCGCAACTCAACTAACTTCATTTGGCTCACCATTATGCGGTGCCCCTCCCACTACTATTGGCTTGACACTCTGTGATTTACATATATGGTGGGCAAAAATATGTCAACAGGGAAAACAGAATAGAGAGTCATATAGTCACCATAAAAATATTTGTTTGTGGCTCTGGGGAAGGGTTTAGGTTTTTATGGGCTAGAGGACCCACAGTAGCCCTTCGTATGACGCACTGGGAACTACGGGAATTCTTAAAGAACCCGACCGGAGTTCCCTGCGCTCATACGTTTTATGAGCACTTTACACTTTTTATAGTCCCTTTTATAGGTACGGCTGGGATGCTGCTGCGCATTAGTCTTCTGCGCAGCGCTTGCGCAATACGTTATGATCAATGCGCCATAGGGCGACTTGTTTCAAAATATAGTGGGGGTCATTTCCCTATAACTCAACTAGTAAAAAAGTATTAGTTTATTCTAGGGAGAATATAAAATAATAGATCACTCGGTATATGTTCGGTATAACCAACGTTATATGTACGCATGCGTGTTACTCTTGGTTACGAAGCGTAGTTAACCAATTAAACCCAACATGCGCAAAGTGTATCAAAACTCGTTGTTTGATGAATATGTTCTTCCGTGAAATCAGGAAAACGAAGCATATATACGTAATTTAGGGATAGATCAATTGTGTGTTAGTGCAGGGAATGAAATACGTATACAGTTTTGTTGGCAACCATACGCAACACATTAATACTGCTTTCATAGATTCAACAATATGGCACCGAGTTGCCAGGTTTGAGATTAGTTGTTGAAATAGTGTGATTCATATTATTGATGCTATCGTATCGATATAATAATCGTGTACTAACATAAGAGAAAATGATAAAAATATCTTATACACTTTGGTGAATACATAGCGTACTAAAGAAGCGAAACGATTACGTTGAGTAATTCTAACCTAACTCTAAAAACTTCGATTCGTTGGTTTCATTAATAGTTCTGTTTGCCGATATAACGGTAAGAGCTTTATTTTGTATAATTTCATTTGTTGTATAAATTTACATTATTACAAAAATATGGTTAATAACAGTTTTTATAGATGTTTTACACAGTTTTTGTAACAATTGTAAGGATGTTACTCAAATAATATAACTTAAAATGATTTTTATATTAAATACTTTTGCATTTCATAATTTCAGGAAGTTCCAAAAGAAATCATCATGGTTAATGTCAATCCTCGAGTATTTTTTGATATAGAGGTTGGCGGATTGCCAATGGGACGTATAATATTTGAACTTTTTGCGGATATTTGTCCAATAACATGCGAAAATTTTCGTGCATTATGTACTGGAGAAAAAGGACTGGGGAAAACTACCAGCAAACCTTTACATTATAAGGGAATTGTTTTCCATAGGGTAGTTAAAGACTTTATGATTCAAGGTGGAGATTTTTCAGTAGGAAATGGAACAGGAGGAGAGTCAATCTATGGAGGAACATTTGCAGGTAAATTTATAAATATAATTGGGTTATTGAAATGGGATTAAAAACTTGAATTACATATAAAATCTATTTTCAGATGAAAATTTTATAATAAAACATAGTAAACCATTTTTATTATCAATGGCAAATCGTGGTAGAGATACAAATGGTTCACAGTTTTTTATGTAAGTATTAACTAAGAAGCAATTAATTAAATTTATACAAAACGAATTTTAAATAGTTCAAAGTAATTTATTAGCTCCACAAGAGATACGAAAAGTGCAGTATGGTGTGATAAGTTATGTAATATGCATAATTATTAAAATCTAAGTCATTAATGAGTTATACTATTTTATTAAGAATTTATTTTGCATGTAATTAATTAACAAAAGTGATAAGCTTACTAAAGGTTAATATCCATAATTGCAAAGAGAATATTTTGTGTATAGATTTTATTTTTTAATATTTCTACTGGCTCAAAATTATTTTTCTCTGCTGACAGATGTATTCTTAGTCAACCTCAAAGGTAAAGGTAATAGGAACTTAATATATATTTATTTTCATATTTTAACATCCTTTCAAGCTAACATGTTTTTAAATGTGTTTCAAATGAATAACAGGTGATATATATTAAATAAAAGGAACAATTGGGTTTGTTAACTATGATAAATTTGATAAATCTTCATTAAATTATAACATTACTATACTACTGTAAAGTCATTCAGTATGTAGTAATTTGTATGAGTTACATGAATTTTCTGGTGAACATTGAAAAGTATAGAAGTAAGGATATCTTTGGAGGAATGAATAACTTAGCTATATTTCTGTGTAGTCATGAGGGAAGGGTCTGCACACCACTACTACAACACAATGACCAATGAAAGCCGGCTCTTTCTGTTCATCTCTCATCCCCTTAATCATATTTTGTTGTTGTAGTACAACACAACCAGCGCCTCACCTCGACAAGTAAGTAACAAAAAATTATGAATTCATTTACTGCAATGAATTTCGGTGTAGTACTTTCTTACATGTCAATTTTTAAATCTTAGTGTCCATGTGGTTTTTGGAGAAGTAGTGTCTGGCCAGGAAATTGTTACACATATTGAGGGACTCCCAGTAGATCGTATGTCTCGCCCATTACAAGATGCTAAGGTTGTGAATTGTGGAGAACTTGTGCTCAAAGTCAAGAGTAAAGGTATATTCAACTTTTATTTCATCGCCATACTTAAACAAAACTATGTTAGTATAATAAAATGAAATGTTTTACTTACAGCAAAAAAACACGAAGCGAAGGATAGCAGTTCATCCGAGTCAGATTCCGATTCGTACACAGAAAAACCTAAAAAGAAAAAGAAAGCCAAGAAAAAGTATAATCCGTTCATATTTTAAAATCAGTATACTAATACAAATAGAATAATAATTATTATTTGTTACAGTAAAAAAAGAGCAAAATCAGAAGATGGCGAAATACATGATTCAAACGAAGATGATCTTGGGAAGCCTCATCCACTTGTTTCAGTGACAAAAATTGACCCTGATGAAATTCCTGAAGTGCCAGCGAATAAATTTTTGTACAGAGCGGGGCCTACTAATAACGCGAATCAGAAAGAATTTAGACAACATTACGGAAGAGATCGGGTACGGTCGCATAGAAAAACTGGTCGCGTATTTAAAGGAAGAGGAATATTTGTAAGTATTTGTGTACAATATATAAAACATGGTATGTATAAATTTTGTGAATATTGTTACATATCTCGGAGTACAGAGTTTTGAGTAGAAACATGGCAATTTTTTACGTGATAACAAATAATTACATGTAAATAAATTTACAGCGGTATCACACGCCTTCTCGTAGTCGCTCAAGAAGTGTTACACCACCTCACTGGAAGCAAGCTCAAAATCGTACTATTAAATTACACGAATTCCAGGTATTGTATAATTATATTATACAAATATTTGTAGAAATGTTTGCAATATATAAATTTATGTTATAGAAATTAGAGAAAGAACGTTTAAAAAAGGAGGAAGAGATGAAGAAACGGGAAGCTGATAGAATTAAAAAGTTCAGCGAAAATCCTGATGAGGAAAACCAGATGATGGATAAGTTCGATACCGAAGCACCTGTGTGCGAAGATTTAGAAAATAAGGAAAATGATCAGACAGACGATAAGAAGGATAGCAATAAAAATGTGGAACAGGATCAGGATCATTTGAATACTAGTTCAGATATCAATGATACTATGGCAAAAGATAAAGTGGATGGGAAGCACAAAAACGAGAAATTAATAAAACGCGATTCACATCGATCGTATGGTGATAGATCTTCACGACGTGATTCGCGAGATAGGAGTAGAAGGCGTGGAAGTGGACGTTCGAGATCACGGGATCGACGAAGGTCTCGTGACAGAGATTACGATCGTAGAAATAGTCGTGACAGAAGGAACAGAAGAAATTATTATCCACGAAAACGAGACAACTACAGGATGAACAGACCTGGAAGAGATAATTACAGATATTATGAGAGGCGTAATGATTATAGAAGAACGAACAATTCTAATTTTAATTACGATACAGATATGAATTCATCACGTTATGATAAGAACCGAAGGAAAAGTGATAATGCGTCGGACTCTAACAATCAACCAAAATTCAAGCGTCGCTCACGTTCAACTAGTTCTAGTAGTCAACACTCCAAAGATTAAAAAGCATTGTTTCCTTGTTTTTCTTTTTTGCGTAATTCAAGAAAAATATAATGTATATAGTAAGCTATATATATTAATTTTTCCAATTTTTTATTTGAATTTGTTTTATAATGGTATATCAGACTTATATAAAAGTGGCTCTTTTAAATTTGTAGTCATTTAAATATTGGTTGCAATATTTGAATTTCAAATATTTGAAATTCAACTTTCTTTTCCTTCGCAAAATGAATATGAAATGTTCAGATATATAATTCTTTGAACCTTCAGTTATGCACTGCTCTCATACGTAAACTAAATAATGAATGTGTCCTTTATCTGTAGATTATCCAATTGTAAATTAAAAATACTTTTATAGTAAATCAATATACACTTACATTTTATGTTTGAATTTTTGTTTATAAAAAGTTTTGTGCTCCTTCAATATTTGTACACGAAAGCACTAAAGGAATTCAAACATAAATTTTAAGTAAGATTTTAATCTTAGAAATTTACAAAGGTTCATCAATATCATAAACTATAAATAATATGTTCCTTTCTTATCATTTAAGAAAGTATTTGTATTCATACGTTGTATAATCATCATTTAAAATAAAAATCTACTATACAGTTCATAAAATTATTGTTATTTTATTGCTAATAAATATAGAGCCCTATTACCTGGCTCCAATTCTGGGGAATTATTTGTTGGGCCTGTCTATAATTGGGCCTCCTTTCCCTATTTTGGTTATGGGAGTGTACCATATAGTACTTTTATATTGGCATCATTGATAGCGTGAAATTGGCTGCGAAAAATACTTCATTTTGATTGGTTTTTAAAACTTGTTTACGTTAGAAATTGTGATTTCAAATGTAATGTGATTGACAGCACGCAATTAAAGTTGTCAGTGAAGTTTTCGTAAATTTGTTACAATGGTGCGATATGCTGCACTTAAAGGTTTATACGATTTGGAAAAGACTATTGGAAGTGGAGGTTTTGCAAAAGTTAAACTTGCCACGCATATCGCAACCGGTGAAAAAGTTGCTATTAAAATCATGGATAAAACAGCGTTAGGCGTAAGTGATGTCCGGCATTTGATAAATTTGTATAATTCTAATGCACAGAAACATAATTTAATTCTTAGGATGACTTACCAAGGGTTAAACTGGAGGTTGAAGCTTTAAAAACTTTGTTGCATCAACATATATGTAGATTATATCAAGTAATAGAAACAGACAGTCACTACTTTATGGTAATAGAATATTGCTCAGGTGGAGAGCTCTTTGATCATATAGGTAATTGGTTGATATCTTATATTCTTAGTATTTATCATAAAAAGATTATTCAGTTATTTTTATTTGCAGTTGAAAAAAATAGGCTGAGTGAAACAGAATCACGAAAATTCTTTCGGCAAATTGTTTCTGCAGTAGCTTATTTACATAGTTTAGGATATGCTCATCGTGACTTAAAACCGGTACATTATACTTTTCTTCTGTGACTAAATATTTGTATCAATTGTAAGAAATATTATTTTGTACCCAGGAAAATGTTCTGCTCGATAGGGAGGAAAATTTGAAGCTTATAGACTTTGGATTATGTGCTAAGCCAAAAAATGGAATTGAATCACATTTACAAACTTCTTGTGGCTCCCCAACATATGCTGCACCAGAACTTATATTAGGGAGAAAATATTTAGGTATTTATTTTGTTCTTAATTTTGTTAAACATTTAGAATATTTGTATCATATTTGTGTTATAGGTTCAGAAGTAGATATCTGGAGCATGGGAGTCCTTCTTTATGCATTGCTCTGTGGTTTTCTACCTTTTGATGATAATAGCATAGAGAGCTTATATAGAAAAATCCTTGTAAGGTTTTTTATATTTAATTATTTTTGCTGAGGAAGTTGTTAATAATAGTCTAATTTTAGAGTGGCAAGTATGATGAACCAGGCTGGTTATCAAGTAGTAGTAAAAGGCTGATACGAGCAATGTTACAAACAGATCCAAAGAAAAGGATTACTATTCAGGAATTGTGCAATCATCCGTGGATTACAGCAGGATTTCTTAATCCTGTCTCTTTTGCTCATAAGACTAATGTAATAAATTTTATTAAATATTTTTAATGCATATATGTGTTATAATATTTTAATAAACAAAATATATTTACAGTTTGAAAAAGACGATGATGTGCTAAGTACTATGTCTGCAATATGTAGTGAACATACTTCAGAAATATGGAAAAAACTTGTAAAAAGCGATAGGACTGATTACAGAACTGCCACATATCTTTTACTCTTAGATAGGAAACTTCGTGGCCTTTCACTTAGGATATCATCTTCTGCAAAGTCTCAGTTTAGATCCGAGGTAGTAGTATTGCATATTATCTTAGTCTTCAACAATATTTCAGTGTTACATTCAGAATATTTTTGTTTTGATTATAGTGTGAGGGAGGACTCAATATCTTAACTAAACTTAATTATTCTCCAAGAAGTAAACCTGGTAAGAAGTCACCAGTAGTGGACACCACATACAATGTTTTACCAAAAACACCTGAAACTGGTAAGCTGCAACTTTTCTCCATATATTTTATATGTATAGTTGTTATCATATTATTTTCGCGTAGCGAACAATTTTATGGAACCACATGTACCTGGTAGAAAACGGCTTCGCAGTAAAGAAGTAGACGATGCGTACTCTCCTGGTATGTTTTGTAAGGCTGTACCTATTTTGTACTATTGATATCTTGAAACATTTTTTCTCAACATTTTTGACACCTATTTTATACTATATTGACATATAATAAACATCCCCTTTTCTTAAAGAACTTTTAGATGTACTTGTGTTCTATTACAGCCATGGTACTTAGTTTTATAATATATTTCCTAAAGTTTGCTTCTAATTAGGTGATGCTAGCCACCTAATTAGAAACTTTAATGAAAGTTTCCAAGTGCCATAAATTGCTGTAGTTCTGTGAAAAGCAGATAATTAGTCAGAGAAGAGCAACGACTTGTGAACAAACACAATTTGGAGTTACAAATAACTCTGTGTAAGAATTCTTTATCCCACCTCCTTCTAAAAGGTATAATACCTTACTACTGTTCCTTATCTCGTTTTCTCCGCACCTTTTGATTTTTATTTATCCATGCTTTTCGTCCCCATTTTTCACCTAATTTATTTAATAACAAACCACGTATTAATTACAGTTCCTGCAAAAAGAGTTGCAGAGAAAGATAGGCTTCTTTCTACTCCAACTCATACGCCGATATCCGATTCAAAGTATGTCTATAATAACGACAGCATAATTACTGACTAAGTATCATAATTTAATACGAAAAATATTTCTTAGGGGATCTCAATCATCTACACCAGGAAGCGCAAGGAAAGTAATGATGGGTTTGGAACGAGGTCTAAATCGTGTTCGCTGTGTTCTTACGCCTAAGAGGCGCGTTAAAAATGAAAATACTGATCCGGATCAACCAAACATACTCTCTGGAAAAGTTTGTATCTGGTTACCCATATTGCAAAAAATCGAATCGACTTAAATTACTGATATTTTATTTAATTTTTTTTATAGGGTCTTTATAACGTATCATCGACATCCAGCGACGATCCAAAATATGTTCTGTCGCAATTACGTCGGGCACTTCGTCGTAAAGGAATTATGTGTCATCAAAAAGGGTAAGGAACATTGTTATAAATTTTAAATGAGTATAATTAAGTTGTATTATTTTTGTAGATTTATTCTTCAAGGAGAAACAGAAGATTGTACAGATGATGATAGAGATACGGTACGGCCATTTTCATCTAGGAATGCCTGCTCCTTCGAGTTGGAAGTCTGCTTATTGGAGGGCGTTTCAGACGATAAATTAGTCGGTATTAGAAGGAAAAGATTAAAGGGTAACGCGTGGGTGTATAAACGAGTATGCGAAGAAGTTCTTGCTCTGGCAGCTGAGGATCTCTCCGCGGAACCGGAAGGCTCCACGGAATCAAAATGTCCGATTTAAAGTCTTCCTACAATTTGTTAACGAACAGGACTGTTCTGATCTCCATTATGTTAAATAGATTTTTATACGCAGCGTAAATATAAAAAATAACTATCGCATGTACACTTCCGACAAATACGTTTGCGACAGCTTCAAATCAGTAACATATCTTTATACGTCTGTAAAGTATATTTTCTTGGTAGAAGAAATAATTATAGGAGAAATATTACGTCCACGTAAAACTTAACAGTAAATATTTCTCTACATATATCTATAATTCTGATTAAAATTAGGATTAATTAATCGTGTAATATTGTTATATATTTAGGGTCAGGTAAATTATAATATAATTTTCTACGGTTAGTATAGCATTACAGCAATAAAATATATTTTATAAACGGAGAGCTGCGATCTCCGAAACAAAGGACAATTAATACGAAAATATATATATTTTCACAAATAAATGTTTTAACCCATTTAGTTCTTTAAGGATCCCTTCGGTTAAAAATTCATGTCGGAAACAGTCTCATAGTACAAAGAAACTCTTTACAAAAGACTGTTACCAGCCCTTTCTGCCGGAATATGTAAAGCTCCATTTTGCGCTCACTTCGCGGATATAAAATATCGCGGCTCGTTTGAACCATCTGTTCTCGGCATGGACAAGCGAAGTTATAAAATCACCACAAATCGATCAGCATAAAATGGAGCCGCGCGTGCACTTTGTTTTATGGCAACCGACCTTTTATCTTTGCCCGCTCACATAATCGCCGACCCACGGCCGTATTCTCGGCGAAGTTCGATCGGTTCGGTCCTTTTTCTTGGACATCGATCGAAACAAAGCCAGATGCTCAGACAATTGAGCTGTTCTCTTGAATAGTAGCGAAGTCGAGAATAAAGGAATGTTCAGTTTTTCTTTCAAGGATCTGGGCTGTTATATTGAATAGAGTGATGTACATATTAGATTGTTAGATTAGACTGTTAGATTATAAGCAATGTTACTATTAAATTATGAGCAATGTACTTACTGTAAAATTATAAGTAATGTATTTACTATAAGATTGTAAGCAGTGTACTTGCTATATGATTATAAGCAATGTACTTGCTACATGATTATAAGCAATGTACTTGCTATAAGATTATAAGCAATGTACTTGCTATAATATTATAAGCAATATACTTACTATAACATTATAAGCAAAGTACCTACTATAAGATTACAAGCAATGTACTTACTATAAGATTACAAGCAATGTACTTACTATAAGATTGTAAGCAATGTACTTGCTATAATATTATAAGCAATGTACTTGCTATAATATTATAAGCAATGTACTTGCTATAAGACTATAAGCAATGTACTTACTATAAGGTTGTAAGCAATGTACTTGCTATATTATTATAAGCAATGTACTTGCTATAATATTATAAGCAATGTACTTACTATAAGATTATAAGCAATGTATTTACTATAAGATTGTAAGCAATGTACTTGCTATAAGATTATAAGCAATGTACTTACTATAATATTATAAGTACAAAATCAAATATTGATTTAACCTAAATGCAGTATAATGTAAATAGGATTGAAAGGTATTTTGCATAATTATAACACTTCTGAGAATAAGAAAATGGCGACAACCGTGATGAATAGTAACAAGTAGTAATACTAATGCGTTGCACGCATTAGTGTTAGATTAATTAAACACGTTATTTCGTTAAATTGATGAAACGGCGCGAAGACAAAAAGCAAGGACAGCCGTATAAATGAAGCAACCGTGCAAGATGTAAACCTAAGTCATCCGGGCATAAATTACAATTAACCGTAGCACATAGGTGCACTTGCGTGAGCGCATGCACGTGCAGCTTACGGTATTAAATTCATCTTGTATTTTATCGAGAACGATGAATAACGTTGGGCTACCACAGGATAAGGCGTCCAGGCCCCATGAACGACTTTTATATATCTCGTACAATCGGAGATATTTGCAGACTAATAATTAAGCTGTCTAACGATTATTACGATGCGATTTGCATAACGAAGGGCTCGCGGTAACGTGTAATTTCTGGAGGAAGGATATTCTAAAAGGTTCTATTTATGACATCCTTCGAAAAAGGAAAACCTGTCTTGAAAATACATTACGGGACGAATCTTATTCTCTTATCACTTCGTGTATTGTAAATTGAATTTAATTATCTTGTTCGGTGAGTTTATATTATTCAACTATGTAGATGATTTAGAAACACTTTTCATGGAACTATTTACTTTAGTTTATAATTACAATATTTGAAAACTTATAAAATTCATATTTTATGAAGAGGAGTCTGCTAAAAAAATTTACTGCTAAACGAATTTATTTGTGGTAAAAATAAAATTCACACTTAGTGGTAAAAATAAAGTTAACAGTTTGCAAAAATAGTTAAAAAAATTCCACGCTGTTGCATATCAAATTGAAAAGATGTCAGACCGAACAAATTAAAATATGAACTTAATGGTCGCAAAAAGGGTTAACAGATATCTCATCGAGTCATCGAATTACATGCTTAACGTTTCATCGTTACGCTTGTTCAGGATGCGAGTCCTCGCGCGGATATACGTGTACGTTATTCACCACGTGCCCTTAGTTCTCGCCAATGGATCGGGTGTCGTACACCGGCTCGTACCAATTACCGTCTGGCCGCCGGTTAATTAAGGATTGGGGCAATGAGGCCCGGCGATGCAGTTTCCGCGATAATGATTATCTGCGACGGTAATTGAGCGAGCTGCTACGCCGCCGAGCAAACAGAAACACTCCGGATAAAGAGGAACGAGGAAACATCTGACGTTTCCTCTCTTTTCGATCGAGAAATTCTTTTTTATTGTAAAGCACTTGTTATAAGTAGCTATCGTAATTTCGATGCAAAGTAGCTTGAGTTATTTTTAAATTCATGTTCAAGTTGAGGTTCATATTCTGGTACTTGGTAAATTAGCAAATTGTAGTTTTTTAATTTATATATTTTTTAAATTCATAATGATTTAATGACGAAGTAATGATTTTCTATATTTTCAAATTTTTTAATGTTCAGCATTTTTTTTTTCAAATTCTAGCATTTTTATATTTCTCCCTCTTTAAGTCTCTGTATCCTCAAACTAATGCATCATTAAACTTCTACAACCCCAAATTATGTCCAAAATTCTTGAGCCACCCTCAAATTTTCAGATCATCAAAAACCCTCAAGAATAATTAAATAACTTCTTCATTCAAAGTTATTATATTTTTTGTTCAGTAAAATTGATTCTCGACTGCAAAGATGATAGAAGAATATAAGAATATACTTTTACGAGAAAGAAGAATATAAGAAACAAAATTTTTCAAGAAAATTGAAATATTTCTTCGAGCGCAATAAACGGTATCCGACTGAATCTGAATTTTGTAAAAGAATTAATTTATGTAAGAGTAATTAGTTTTGTGGTATCAGAAGAACAAGAAGGAAGAATAGGTTTTCTCAAAACTAGAACCGTGTCCCAAGCAAAGCGTGACGAAAAGTCCAGCGACCGCCATAAATCTCGTATATTCTGTTTCTTATGGCGTACACGGCGGCGGCCAGTTTCCCTCGGCGTCTAAGAAAAGCAACTGGCTCTCTCGCTCTCTCGTTCGCTCGCTTGCATTAAAGAGCAATTAGCCGCGGCTCGCGAGCACGCTGATGCCCGGAAGCGATAGAAGCGGGCCGCGCGTGCCACCCTTACCTTTTCTTCGTCTACGTACGAGTACCTGTTCGACTTCACGCATACATACGCTTCTTATCCAGACAGGTACTCGCCTCGAGGCTATCGAAACTCACCCTATTACTTTACGTATCTGGAATAGAGAAATAATAACGTTGTAACGGGAAAAAGGATTTCTAAAATAATTTCTACTTACGTTTCGGAGAGAGATATTTTCGAGGTCCCGTAATTTAAGACATCATAAATAAAATTTCTAAAACAATTTCTATCTATTAAAATTGTAGAAATTATTTCTCCGAAACTGTGTTTTAGCAATATTCATAAAATCATAGGAATTTATTAAAAATGTACTATTCTGAAGTAGAACGGAACAGCGAAATAACATGAAATGTATTACGCATGTACGATATTCTTTTGGAGGTTGGTACATGAATTACGTCGGTTCGAAGCAATCTAAAGTCGAGCATCGTTGTGCAAGTTGCACACGGAAGGAAGGAAGGAAGGAAGGAAGGGATGGCGAGGAGTGCTAATCATCCGGTTTACCCACCCTCTCTTTTCGGGTCAGCTCGCTTGTTTATTTGGCCCCGTTGCGAAAGGGGATGGCAGCAAAAATAAAGGGCAGAAAGCTCGGTTCGCCGAGGCATGACCAGCCGAGTCCACCAGAAGCTCATACATATGTAGACTCGGTCAGGACACAGAACCGTGGGGAGGACCCTCCGGAAAAATGAATATGCAGCCCTCTACAGGGTATTATTTTATGAAATTTACTAGCCTCCACAGGTATTATGTACTTTTCCGTCGTACATTCTACGCGGGAACCGACGATGGTTTAACGAGACAGATGTGTCTTATGGTTTAACAAGAAAACTATTCATCATTTAGATATAGGTATCATAGATAGCAAGTTATATAGAAATGGATGTTCATGTAGCAATCAGATGCTTGTTATTTAGGATCAATTTTTTGGGTGGGACTAAACTTAGAGTCAAGATGAATTGTATATCATATTTTCATATTTAAAATTCATTAGTTGGATGTATGTATATAGCAATGTATATAGCAATGTATATAGAAATTGATATACATATGTAGCAATTAAGATGTGTGTTGTTTAGGACTAATTTTTTGGGGAGGACTAAACTTAGAGTCAAGATGAATTGTATATCATATTTTCATATTTAAAATTCATTAGTTGGATGTATGTATATAGCAATGTATATAGCAATGTATATAGAAATTGATATACATATGTAGCAATTAAGATGTGTGTTGTTTAGGACTAATTTTTTGGGGAGGACTAAACTTAGAGTCAAGATGAATTGTATATCATATTTTCATATTTAAAATTCATTAGTTGGATGTATGTATATAGCAATGTATATAGCAATGTATATAGAAATTGATATACATATGTAGCAATTAAGATGTGTGTTGTTTAGGACTAATTTTTTGGGGAGGACTAAACTTAGAGTCAAGATGAATTGTATATCATATTTTCATATTTAAAATTCATTAGTTGGATGTATGTATATAGCAATGTATATAGCAATGTATATAGAAATTGATATACATATGTAGCAATTAAGATGTGTGTTGTTTAGGACTAATTTTTTGGGGAGGACTAAACTTAGAGTCAAGATGAATTGTATATCATATTTTCATATTTAAAATTCATTAGTTGGATGTATGTATACAGCAATGTATATAGCAATGGATGTTCATATGTAGCAATTAAGATATGTGTTACTCAGGACCAATTTTTTGGATAGGATGAACCTAACCTCAAAGTCAAGAAGAATTATGTATCATATTTTTTCAAGTTCTCTTTCAAACTATTCCCGTCGTGTTACTTCATGTCTCAATGTTCTTAAAACCTCTGTCTAAAACTACAAAATCCTCAAATGTTTTACAGATTAATATTTGAAAAGCATCTGTTAATTCTTTTAGCATCCTCGCTTAGTCTTTTGCATCTCAGAGATTGTTTTTAAGCTTGTATCTAAGTTTCGAAACAAATACGTCATAATTCTGAACTGTCTCCCCTATTCCATACTCGGGGCGGTTGTTTCTATAAAATTGTAGCCCCTTATCGTCACAGAGGAAACGAAACATTAAATCGGCTGAGGGGCGGGCTGTTTCGGTGGGTGCGTCTGAGATTTCCTGTGTGGACTCTGGATGCTAGGAAGGATGACTTCCTACCTAACATTCAGGGCGCGTCGTAGATTTATTCGATTACGAGATTGCCCAAATAATTCGATCACGTGTTTCCCAATGAAGATTTTTCTGTTTTTCGAAACCGATATCGATACAATATCTAAACAACTTTATCATTAATGCAGCAGTAGCACCGCATTACTAGGAATTTGTATATAATGGTGCTATGTACATATGTAATGCGGCAGCCCACACATAATGGCGATATCATAAGATACGAGCCAATAGCGGCAATTGTATGGAAATATGTATCTATGAATGAAGACACTTTCATTTATGAAACCAGATACTTATGTACCGGACACGGGCGTTGTAACATCCTGCTATTATGTGTCCTTACCTACTCGACCCATCCTCCTCTTTCCCTCTTTCTCTCTCACTTTGTGGAGCCATCTACTGTAATATACTTTTATGGATCATCGTTTATTGTACCCTGTTAAATTTGGTAACTTTGCGTTTACTTTTTTAGAGTAATTTTGAAGGTGCAGTAAACTATGTGCAATCGTTGTTAGTTTGGCTACTAGTTAGTTTGACTGCTAGTTAGTCTGGCTACTGGTGACTCTGGCTACTAGTTGGTCTGTCAGTAACTTTAGACTCTACAAGATGGCTGACAGATTGAGACGCAAGAGAAGGGTGGACATTGCAGAAGGACACATCTTGTCAAATCGACTTTTAACATTTTTTTCAATTGATTACCTAATATTTAGAATGATAAACCCTTAGGATTATTTAATATTTAATGATGAGATTAAGAGTTGCATTGGTAAAGAAGGTTCAGTGAAGCACACAATGAACAATCGTTCTCATTGCAATCTTACAAGTATACTCCATGTCTGAACATTGAGCGATGAGTTATGTCTAGAAAGTTGCATCCATAAAACGAAGATTCAATAAAATCTTGCTTAAACTACAAATGTAATTACACACGTCTTGCTATCTGAATATTGATCGATGAGTTATAGAAAGTTGCGTGCATAAAATGAAATATGAGATCCAGCCACCTTATTGTAATTTTAAAAATTTGTAATTATATTTTGTAGCTGAATATTGATCGATGAACATCTAGAAAGTTGCATCCATAGAGTGTTTAGCTGAATATAGATAAATTATAAAAAGTTGCATCGTAGAAGATAACAAAGTGGTGAATGAGCAATGGTCATTGCAATCTCGTCGTTTCTGTTCATTCAAGGGACGACAGTGAATCGAACATTCACGTTGTCGTCTGGACATGCAAGGTTCTTTCGGTTAGCAAACTGACAAGGCAGAAAGGGACAAGCAGCAGCAACC